CTCGAACCCGGTCACTGACCAGGTCTTATAAACTAATAATATTGAGGCCTAAGATTAATAATGTTGAGGCCTAAGATTTAGCAAAAAATTAGAAACTCGAATCCGGTTACTGACCAGGTCTTATAAACTAATAACGTTAAGATCTAAGAATTAGCAAAAAATTAGAAACTTGAAACCGGTCACTGACCGGGTCTTATAAACTAATAATATAGAAGCCTAAAAGTTAATAACATTGAGGCCTAAGAATTAGCAAAAAATTAGGAACTCGAATCTGGTTACCGACCGGGTCTTATAAACTAATAGCGTTGAGGCCTAAGAATTAGCAAAAAATTAGAAACTCGAATCTGGTTACCGACTGGGTCTTATAAACTAATAGCGTTGAGGCCTAAGAATTAGCAAAAAATTAGGAACTCGAACCCGGTCACCGACCGGGTCTTAAGAGCTAGTCGGTAGATCTACTAATAATGAATTTTGATTGGTCAGCCTGACAAGAAACTTTATATTAATATTGGCTGGGTTTTGGATAAACAGTCAAACTGTTGGAAGATTTTAGGCGGTTCATTCTCTACCATTAGTGGTCATATCAGGTTAACATTTAATTTAAAAGGTTAAAACCTTTAATAAAATCTAATAACTGGTATATAACTCAGGGTTGGCACGGACCGGTCAATGGTCAAGCTTGACCAGACCAGTTTGACCAATCTGACCAGTTGGTCAAAGGGTTTAGCATTGGTCAAAGGATATTTAAATATATAGTATATATACACATATATATTTTTATATATGTATTTACTTTGTATACTAAATTTATTTATTTAATAGACTGGGCCAATTGACCAATTTGACCAGACCACTTGACCAATTTGACCAGACTAGCTTGACCAACGAATTTTTGGTCGGCCAGTAATTTGACCAACTCTGTATATAACCTATCAAAGAAGGTAACCAGATTATAAAAAAATGAGCAGTCATGTAATTTATTTCTTAAATTATAAAATTTTGATATAAACTTCTACAAAAGCATTTGCATTATTTTATGACTACATTATAATAATGATTATATATTTAGGTAATTTTTTATACAATAGAATCTAATTCAGAGCAATTGATCAGGTCTTATAAAGAAATTTCAATCGCACAGTAATTAGTGATTCCTCTTACTTTCCTGACAATTATTTTATTAATGACTCATTTAATTGATATCATGTCAAGCAAACTCCTAATATATAATGCCAACTAAATCTGAATAATTGTTAGTAAAGCAAGAAATTTTCATATTTGTTTAGCATATTAAGCAACCAATGTCAACGATGAGAAAGCCCCAGTTGACCACTCCCCAATACCTATTCCAGTTGTGGCTTCTTTCTATCAAGTTGGCATAGACATCGTAGGACTATTGTCTATCACCTCCTAAACCAATAGTTATACAGTAGTGGCAACAAATTATATAACTAAATAGCCAGAGGCCAAAGCAATTAGTTCTGCAAATGCCCAAGAAGTTGTTGATTTTTTGTATAATGGGATAATTTGCTGCCATGGGTGCCCCGAGTTGATCCTGTCAGATCAAGGAACTCATTTCTAAAATAAGCTAGTTCAGAAATTACTGGAAAAGTTTCAAACTAAGCATGCCTTGTTGACACCATACTACCCCAGACAAATGGGCTAGTAGAACAGTTTAACTGGACCCTGTGCAAGTCTATTGCTAAAACTATGAAAAATGTGGTAGATTGGGATTTAATTATCCTATCCATATTGTTTGTATATTGAACTTCAAAGCATTCTACTACAAGGATAATGCCATTCTACCTGATACATGGTCAAGATGCAAGATAGCCTATTCAATCAAATGATAGTGTTGGGGAAACTATGGCCCAAAGAGTTTAAGGACTAGTTGATATGTTGCCAGTAATCCACCAAGCTGCTATTTTTGAGTGCAAAAGGTGCAGAATAGGCAAAAACAGCTTCATGATAGAAAATTCAGAATATTACTGAATTTGGAATAGAGAAAAAGTCTTGGTGTACTGTGCATCCCAACAATATAATCATAGCGTAAAGCATGAACCGAAATGGTCAGGTCTATACTACATTCATCAAGTTTTTGACTGGAATGTAGTCAAGTTGCACACAATGGAAGGTCAAGTTGTATCAACCCCAATTAGTACTAGTCTAATTAAAATATATAAAAATCGTCAAAAGTGTACCAAAGTGGAAAAGACATCAAATTAAAGTGTAAATTGCATGATAGAAAGGAGTAAGGGATGAATGATGTTTTGATAATAAGGGTGTGTGAAAAAAAAAGAAAAATATATAATCATAATAAAAACATGAATATTATAAGTAGCAGATCGAAAAGAGTTTTTTTATATATATAGCAATAATCAAAAGTTCAATCCCTTTATCTCTACTCACTTTAAAAAAAAAAATGAACATCAACACAATCATCAGGGATATAACCTCTCCAGTTTCTTCTAGTGTTCTTGTAACTCCACCTCCATTTGTGACTTCACCTCCATTTGAGAAGACACATGATCTCATAACAAGTGTGGACGCGACTCGTATAGCATTGCTGCAGGCCATTTAATTTAAAAATAGAATTGAAACTTTGGTATTTGCCTACTATCTTGGAATGTTATTTGTAACTGCTACTTTAACTTAGCAAGAGGCTATTCGGAGACAAGTGACTCAACATTATTACTTTGCAGCTAAATGTATCTATGACGTGTTTGCTTCTCTTGGTATTCAGCAAATTTATAGCACCACCATGGTTACTTTCAATACCTTCAGACTACTTTTAAATGAAGATTTCCAACAATTGATCCTCTAGTGTTCATAGAACTCACATTTTAAGTTGGAGAGTATTGTAACCTGGGAAAGTTGGGCCTTTGGAAGTTTCAATTTTTTTAAGTTAGCTGATATTACATATTGCCACAGTAGCTATTTTTGGTAAAATGATGATCTTTGATTTATTTGGGGTAAGACTTTTAGGAGCGATTTGTATTAAAAATATTAAAAGTCTTAAAGGTCTTAAAGTCAGAAGTATAATAGTTTTAAGACTTAAAAGTCTTTTCTTTGTTTAATGTATTTTAAAAATTTATATTATTATAAGACTTAAAAGTCTTAAATATAACATAGTGTAAAGAAAGTATATAAGCAGTACATTTTTGCTGTTTAATAAAAATATCATTCATGCGATTTAACAGGCATCCCTTAGCTTGTCTTTGGCCCACTTATATAAATATTTTGCAACACTACCTTCACCTCGATCTTTTCTAAACTAAATTCTTGTCTAATTGTTAAATTCTGTATAAACTATAACCACTATGTTGTCCAAAGATTATCCTTCTGAATTAGCCCAAATTTAGACTAAGTCGCTCCTATTGTCTGCCCAATACAGCCAACCCTTATTGTTATCTGAGTTTAGCACCATTTACCACCTTGGTTTAGGTTGATAGTACTAAGCATTATATCTGGAAAAGTATTATTGATGCCTGATTTCCTTGTGGGTTGGTTTCTGTGGTTCAAGTATTGGTAAACCGAAGTTTGTCACATGTTTGTTGTCTAAGGATTGCTGAAGCCTTAGAACCATTCCACTTAGCCAAATCTAAACGTCTCTTTCGATAAGGTGGTCAAGTGTTTTGTTAGTTTAATTTTGCTGGTTGATTTAACTCCCGGCAAATCGAAATTTTCCATGCAACACTATGTGTTCTCAGAATAACAAGTTTTGTTTCTGAGTATTTTACAGCAACTCAACTCATTGCAAACCAACTAAATCTTAACCACACACTGTGTATACCAGAATAGTAAGTTCTGTACCAATTTTTATAGTAGAAATCATGATAATTCTAATACAAACTAAATCTCATACACCCCTCATTACAACAAACCCCATTAAACCGGATCCCTTATTATAACGGATGAGTTTGTCAGAACCAAATTTTAAACAATAAATTTCCCTTGATATTACGGATATTTATAATATCTATGCTTATAGCGGATGCGGATCAAGTTTAATTATTTAATATATACCATTTGGCATCCTATACCGGACATGATATCTAATTGGCTATTAAATGAACATGTGATCATAAGTGTAAACAGAACAACCAATAAAAACTCTAGCACGTGTATACTGTGATTTAACCTAGGAATTTTTTTTGCATTTTTTGTATTTACATATTATGTAGTTAAACTTGAGATTATGACTTTTTTGCATAGCGAATATTTTAAAGTAATGGATATTTTCGAGGCATATAAATTTGTCTTTTGATATAGCGAAGGATTAGATCAGAATGTGAACTTCGCCATATTGAGCTTTGACTGCAGTTGTAAATAAAATTTGATATTTTGAGGCTTTTAAATATAGGTTCAACCGCTTAAAACAAACAAATTATTAACTAAATGAAGTCAAACTATAAATATGCGATTACTGTATATATAAATCTTGTTGTACTGAATTATATATGATTTTAATAGTAAAAATCACCATTGTTATAGCGGATTATATCCTATGTCTATTAGTAAATCCGTTATAATATAATAATGGATTTTTATTATAACGGACAGAATTTTCCAGCCCGACAGGTCCGTTATAACGAGGGTAGAGTGTATTGTGTGTCACCGGATGTCTGTAAAGGACTTTTTTTCAGTAACTCACGATAGAAATCACAATATTTTTATTGTCGGCCTTAATCACATACTGCGTGTCACCAGAATAGCGAGTAAATTCTGTAACTGAATTTTTTACATTTAATTCACAATAGAAAACATAATAATACTAATACTACTAGCTTAATCTTAATCTTAACTGTATACTTAGTGATGGGAAAAATGCGCATTTTATAATAACATGCGCATGAATGCATGATATCGGATTAAATAATTTTTGGAATTTATATTTTCCCTTCGAAAATATCAGATATGTAATCAAATTTTTGACCTGATCTTACTCTTCTTTTATGTTCATTCATCTTTCTTTTCGGAAATTTTCAAGATTTTTGCATCCATATTCTTTAATTCCGCCTGACAATAAACTCCCTGGCCTAAATTATATACTTTAATTTTTTTTAATAAATTTAGATGGGGTAAAATACGCATTAATTCGCATGATTAAGGAATCATGCGCACGCATGAAGCCCATCTCTAGTTACACCAGAACATGAAATTTATTGACTAGCAAATTTTTTGGCATAATAGGGATAGTTTCTATGCAAAATCTTTTGGCCAGTGTTTTGGCCAAAGGTTTTAATCACATCATTAATTCTATAATTCTGTAGTATTTTGCCGGTCATGCTAAATAATTTCGTGATCAAACAGAGTTTTGCTGATCAAAAATTTCTAGCCAATTGTCATTGAAATATACAAGTATTAACAGTAAATAAAAAACGAATCCAAACTGAATTTCGATTTTATTTTAATTTATATTACAATATAAAGAGTATTAAGTCTTTTGACCAAATAGTTCTCATAAAAAATTTTTTTTAAAATATCACCAAAAATTGATTTTATTAAAGTAATATAAATTTACATTATATAAGCAATAAAAAAAACATGTTGCATTTAAAAAGAAAAAAAACCTTATCACACATATTTAATAATAAGGGTAAGTAATAAGAATAAGGTTCTTTTATTTTCTTTATTTTTCTTATAAGTGATAATAACTCTACACTAATAGCGGGTGCAATAGAAGCGCAATGGACAATTTATTATATACAAACTTAAGGATAGCGAAAAGACATTGCTTTTATACTTTTTACATGCTTATTGATTACATGTTTTAGAGTGAACCTTCTGGCGAAATGTCTTTAATTCTGAAACGCCATTAATGGAATTAATGGATTAATTCCATTAATGTCATTAGTGTCATTAGTGTCATTAAATGAACTAATGGATTTAATTCACGAAGTAAACTGAATAAGATGAATATCCTCTGGTTACTATTTCTGGGGTTTTGGTTAAAATATACACTAACTACTTGATCTTTATCGTATATATGAAGTAAAAATAAAAATAAAAATAATATAAAGAGAACGAAAAAAAAAATAGTAGGGCCGATGCCCTTCACAACGTGCCGTCCACCCTGCGGCTAAATAGCAAGTGATAGACATTAAGAAAGTGCAGAAAGATATTGTACTATGGTATTTGTTGTTTACTTCATGCTCTTTAATGAATAATTCAATTTTATTAAATGTAATTTTGCAGTAAAAAGTTAAATCATAAATAGATACAATTATTATATACCTTTGATAGGAGGATGCCATACTGGATAGCTAAACAAATAGTTTGTATCTTGAGAAAGGATAATCTCAGAGGCACCTTTAAAGGTAAAAAAACAAAAGAAAAATATAGAAATTGTCATGAGAACACAAATTGAAGGTCTAAGCTGAAGATTCATTTTCGGTTAAAATTTTTTATTTACTTATTATGATTTTTTTTAGGTAGGAGAGAAGTAATCTTTTCGTTTAAAAATGTTCAGAATTCCTTCCGTTCAAATACTCAATCAATTATAAAAAAGTGTAACTAAATTAAATAAATTCATTAGCCATCTTTCTAAATTCAATAGCTGTTAGCCATCTTTCATCTTTTTTACGTAAATTGAGTCGTGGCTAGGTGCTAAGAAAGGGTCTAAATTGACATAATAAAAGGTCTTAATATTAAATCATAAGCATATGCAAATTTTAAAGAGCTATACTGCAAAATTTTATTAATACAACTACTTTTGTGTTTAAATAAATTGATTTATGTAAAAAAATTCATTTGAAAAAATTGTCAATTTGGGCCCTTTTCTCAACATATTATTCAAAGAAATTTTTTAACTTTATATGCATTATACAATAAAATATCCATTATTGGTTAAGTGACAACGAAATATTAAATTTTGGCAACGTATTGTTAGCTAAACTAACAACACAAACAACCAAACCCACACAATATATTCGATGCGTGGAGGCGGTTTGATTTGTAAGGTAAGGCGTATCGGGTATATTGTGTGAACCAAAATGACTTTTTTTATCGAATATGAACGCACACAATTATTTTTTATTAGAGGGAGAAATAAGCTCATTTTATAATAATTTTACATGCGGGGGGAAGAACAAAAAGAATAAGATCGAACTTTTAGATCTAACTCTATTGTGCAATACAACAATATCGTGTTAACTCCTCGGGCTTAAGATTTGTTTGTTTATTTTGACACTGCCCAAAGCCTAAGGTCTTGTGGTTTTTGGGCTTTGTGGGAACGATTTCTTCACGACTTCTTCCGGGTCTTGGTCACGTTTCGGGCCTCGTGACGGCAAATTCGGCGCAGCGAATTTTGGCAGTTCAGCCGATAACAGTATCTAAACTATATACTGTAAACTCAATTGACGAAAAAGGAATCGGAAATCAAAATAGGTACGTATACTGTATATCATTGATGGTAAATGACCTGAAATGACCCAAATGACTCAAATGACAAATGACCGGTCATTGGGTCATTTCGAGATTCAAATGACCTATTGGGTCATTTGAATTTTATTGGTGGAAATAAAAATAATGCGCAGGGGTGTAATTTCGAAAGTTGGCCCGAATTAAGTTTAACT